ATGTGCTATGGTGAGTGCTGTGAATTGTGCAAGACTGATGAATCACAGACCTGTACCCCTGAAACAAATAATACATTATATGTTAATAAAAAATGCAAAAACAAGAATATGATGCAACAGTCCTAGCTCAGCCCATAGCGCGCAGCCCAGCCCGCCTGGGGTTGAAGGCTTCACGCACCTGTTTAATAGCGGCGGCCATAGAGCTAATGGTCATGACAGTGAGTAATAGTAGTTATGCCAATAGTAGGACAATGCATTTTACATTACAATTAGTTTCTTGCTCAGGTGGGCTTGGGGATGGGTGGAGGAAAGGGCTGGCTCAGACCCCTTCTTCCCTCCACTCCAGCCCTTGGTGATCTGAGTTCTCACCGGAGAGTCTGCTTCCATTCCGCAGAGTAGGAAAGTTCCTTCTTGGCTTGGCAATGCCTTCTGAGACCTTGGCTGGAAGGCTGGCCTGTTCAGTGGACTGTGTCTTTCTCCTTGGGACCCCAGGAGCCCGAGGGGTGGCGGAGCTGGGGCTGCTGACGTCCTTCCGGGTGCCTGTGGACTCTGAGGGCTTTTACAGGAATGGAGACCCTTTGCTGCGCCAAGAAATGCTGAGGCTGTGGGCAGAGAGGTGTGTCCAAGGGGGCTCTTGCTCTGTCTGACTTCTAGGATCCCCAGGTGGGCAGGACAGGGGGAGACAGTTTCCAGCAGTATGGAAGGGGGGCAGCATCATGGCTCCAACTATGAGAAGAGACGAAGAAAGAGATGATTTGAAACTGGACAAGGTGGTGATGTATGCAAAATTAGCCTGCCTTTTCTTTGCTCCTCCCTCTTTTCTAGGCAAGTATCTTGAGCCTTCCCACCCTCCTCCTTAACAGAGTCTGTTCTCTGGAAACTCTGTGCCAGAGGATAGAGAATGATAAAGCTGGGTATGTTCTATACCCTAAGACATTTGCGTTTATTTGGAATCACAGATCTAAGGAATTTCAGCTCTTCCTGGTGGAATCGCAGGTTGTTACTGGTGGGGAAAATTATTTAGTATGTAAGGGGTCATCGTAGAGCCATTTAAGTCAAAGCTAAGGATGGTTTGGTACCTTTAGGGTAGAGGAAGGGAAGGAGGGCACAACAAGTGGGGCTCACCTTCCGGACACTATAGATCCAGTTGAGATAGGCTGTGACCTTGGTGTATACTCCCGGGGTACTGGGGCCCCCACAGCCATGGCCCCAGCTCACGATACCCACCACTTGCCACTGGTCAGAGTGATACATCAGGGGCCCACCGCTGTCACCCTGTGAGACACCAGAACAGGGGTTGCTGGGGAGGGCAGGCAGGGGTGGGGTGGAAGAGTGGGCTTCTTTTTCTTCCCCTCCTGGAGTTGGCGCATCTGTTCCTCTGTGCTCCCCACTCCTCCCCACTGCTCTGTGCTGTTCTGCCCTCACCACCTCTGCTCATGCTGTTCCTGCAGCCTGGAAGGCCCTTCCATTTGGGGCAAAGGGGTTCTGTTTGTGGTCAAGTAAGTTGTTGGTGTGCTTTCTCTCAGACTCACAGGGCACACTAGCAAACTGAAGGCTCTAAGGGGTTCTGCAGTGAGAAGCCCGATTCTCTTTGTTTAACCCAGTACTTCCCAAATTTATTTAGCTGCTCCTGGGATGCCTGTCGTATGCCAGGTACCATTCTAGACAACTGGGATTTGGTCAATGAAAAGAACAAAGATCCTGGCCTTCGGGGAGCTTAGAGTTACCCGGAAAAGAGAGAGACAATAAGCAAACAACACAATAGACCAGAATGTGTCAGATAGTGAGAAGAGCACTTTGGGTGTCTGTCCCAGCTCCTGTAGCCCCTGAGACTTTGTCCCTCAGAACGCAGTAACACCATAGCCTAACTGCCCCCCTTGCGCACCACTATGAGCTCCCCAAGGGAAGAAGACACTGTCCCCCAAACCCAGTATTAACCTCACATTCAAGAGATGGCCAAGAGCTACCTCTTGAGTGGAGGGATTTAATGACTGAGAATGGGGGCAGGAATAAGGTTAGGGCCTTTAGTGAAAATGCCTTGGAAGATCCTCTGGGGGTGGAGGGAGTGAAAATGTGTTCAGGGACTGACTGGTCAGTGGGGTTGGCGGGGCAGGCATTGCTCCAGGGCTCATCCAGCAGGACATGGGTTTTCTCTAGTCTAGTTAAGCATCTTGGCAGTTCTAGAGAAAACAGACCTGGTGTTCCTGCCCTCACGTGACTCCTACTCCTATGCGTGATGGGAAGTAAGAGCAGGTGGGGTGGGTAACACCATTTTTGTAGATGAAATACACATTTGAAATCTTTCTGCTTGTCTCTGTCCATCCATTCATCCTTCTATCCTTATCTGACTGTAATCCTTCTTTCCCTCCCTCTCTCCCTTCTTTTCTTCATCACACATTGAGTGCCCACCATATGCAAGACTTCATGTGGAGTCACCGGCCCTTGGACTTAATTGTCTCTCCGGGACTAATATCTCTATCCAAGGAACTCCCTCATGCTCCCACCTGGCAGGTGTCCACGCCGCCCTCCAGGATGCCTGCGCACAGCATCTGCTCGGTAACTTCCCCCTGGTAGGCATCCTCCGCGTTGCACCGAGTGTGGTCAATGAGCTGGACTGACGCCTGCAGCAGTGTGTCGGACATCTTTCCTGGGAAGTTGAAAACATACTCATATTCCTGTTCTTGCCTCCTACCCCCACCCCAGGATAATTCTGCGGGTTACCTGACACCTTGGTGCTTGGACTTCCAGGATGGATTTTTCTCAGGGATGGTCCTCCTTCCCATCACCTCTAAGAGCTGCTCCCTCAGCCCTATGGTCCTGAGCCCAGGACTTACCTCCATCCTGCTCTGTAAAGCCCCATCCAATAATCCAGAGCGGAGTGGCTGGAGTGAGCTCCTCATCAAAAAAGGGCAGGCAGATGGGCCTGACCGTGCCTGCCAGGAGCAGAGAGAAAGGGGAGAGCCTGGTGGCTAAGCACTCTGGAAAGGCTGACACCAGGGTTTCTATGACCTATGTTCCAGGGGATGTTAACAAAAGTGGCATAAGAAAATTCTGTGGTCAAATAAGTTGAGGAGATATAGTTTAAACATCATAAAAACAAATTAAAAATTAAAAGCCTTGTCATATCTTTATATACTAATGTGCCCCAAGAAGAGAGCTCTACTATAAAAATGTTTCCCAAACTTACTTGAGAATAGAACTCCCCCTTTTTTTTTTTCTCCAAAGGACCAGTGTCTTGTGGAACTGACAGTTGGAAATGCTGATGTAAATACTGTCCAAGCATGAGTCCTCTAACAGAGCTTCCAAGATTCCATGGGCTGCCTTAAGGGTGATGAGCTCTCTGCCCCTGGAGGAGACCAGGTGGGCACAGTAACCCTTTGGCGAGATATTGTGCAGGCTCTTGGCATTGGTTGAGGGTGGAAGATGGACTAGAGGATCTTCTAGTTCCCTTACAACCCCAAGATTGGATGAGTCTATGATTCTCACTTGAGGTGCTCCACATGGAGAAAATAGACCTCACAAGAATCCAGCAGGGGGTGGGGTGGGCTGTGAGCCGGCAGCTCAGAGGGGCCTCATGGCCCCTCACTGATGTTAGGCTGGTATATTCACGGGAAACGCATAGCTGGGGGCTTGAGAGGAGCTGTGATGTGCCCAAGGCCACTTAGTGAGCTAGTGGCAGAAGGGGATTAGAACCTGACCTGAGGGGTCTGTTCCCAGATGCCACCTCTCACCAGAGAATGTGAGTGGGAACTGCAGCTTCACGAGGGCAATGTCCTTCTCTTTGGGGTACGTGGTGTTGAGCTCAGTGATGAAGATGCTGGCCACAGGCAGGGATGGGAAGTTGCCCAGTTTGTCTGAGCCAGCCCTCACCTTCCAGGTGGAGACATCATGATACTTCCTAGGGGGGCAGAGACAGCGGGGTTCAGGCCTGAGCCAAGCATGTGTGGTCTTTGCCAAAAACTGGGTCCCCAGGACCCTGGGGATTGGGGTGCTGAATGTCCCTGCTTTAGGAGGTAATGATGGTGAGGCCAGGGGTGGTAGAGAAGGAGCAGGTCTGAGGAATCCCCTACGAAAGGCCAAATTCTAAAAAGGGATTTGATCCTTTCCCCCCAATGAAACCTGCCCAAGAAAACTTCTAACTGGAGGGCTGGGGAAGGGGCTGTTCCCAGTGCCTGAGCTCTGGGGTCCTGGCACTCTCTCCCCCCAGCACTTTTTACTGTCTGTTACTCATGTGGTACTCGTATTGTCAGTTACGTTATGTACTTGTCTATCTTTCTCCTCCAGACGCTCCTGCCTGCTTAATGTGCATGGGTGGTTTCCCAGGAAAGGACTTAGAGCTTTGTCAGATCTCAAAAAAGGTTAAGAATCCCTGGCTTACACTGTGAGTTCCTCTAAGGCGCTGACAGATATAATGCATATGGGTACATAATATAGTACTCATTAGATGTTGAACGAACGAACGAATGAATGAATGAATGAAAGAAGGAAAGCGAAGAGGGCCTGGGAGTAGTCCTTCCCCACAGGTATGGGCAGGCCTCTCTCTGCTGGCCTGTAAGGGAATCTGTGCTTTATGCTTTTTAAGTTTAAAGTTTTTTTGCTATAATGGGGGAGTGGCAGTGACTCTCGACCCTGGAATCACTCCGGAGAAGACTGGCAGAGGGAGAGCATTCTCAGGACTCCAGGGAGATGGATGGGAAGAGCTTCTGTGGAGTGCATGCTAAGGGGCCAGACTGAGGACACTGGGTATCTGATTGCTTCCTGACTGGAAGAGGTCAAGCTTGGTGATCAATCTTGGTGACCAGTGTCCTCTGCTCAGACCCTGGGTGCCTATCATAGGACATCGTGTCCAGTGTCTCATTGGGGCGGCCACACCCAAGGACGTGGTCTGTGGAGGGAGGGCAAAGAGGGATGAGGACACTGGAACATAAGCTGGGAGACAGGGGACCCAGACACTCAGGCCCCTCCAAGGCTTTGAGCCCCCAAGGCTTCCTTGTGGTGCAGGCCTTACCTGAAGCAGTGGGCTGCCGTGAGGATCCAGTGGGGGTCCAGAATGCTCCCTCCACAGATGTGTTGTTTGTTGTACTGGATGCTGACCTGCCAAGGCCAAGAATCCACAGAGGCCGTCTCCCCGCCCACCACCCGAGGGGCTTTCAGGCTCTCCCCACAGGCTGGAGTCAGTAGGAAGGAGGGAGAAATCAGGAGTCAGGCTCTTGAGGGATGGGATTGCCTCCCCTTGGAGCCCCGTGTATGTCCCCTTAGAACAGAGCCCTTATGACTGGAACCTGGAGGGGTGGGGAGGACCAGGCCCATTTTGAGTTATTCCTAGGGAGCTGGTGTCCCAGACTATAGGCTTTCCCCCAATCTCCCACTTCTTTGTTATGCTTCGGAAGTGTTTATATTATGAACATGGGCGTGTCCATTGTGCTGGGAATTCATGGCCTTCAAACCAAACAGGTGATGCAGAATTACAAAAGTCCTGCCCAGGTGGCGTGTCCCAGCCACTCCTGCGGAGTATCAGCAAACAGATGCCCACAAACTGCTCTGGGAGCCGGAAGTGGGAAGAAGGTTCCAGAAACTGGATCTTCCTATCCTAAACTCACCTTTCTCCAAGTCCCTTCCCCCGTGATGAGTGAGTCTCCCAGTTTGACACGCTATGCTCTCTTTCATATGCCACTGTCCTTGGCTTTTCCATCATGACCCTCAAGCTCTGGTAAAAGCCTCCATTCCCACCTCCCTGCCCTGCCCTCAGCCTCTCCAGTCCTGGCGGTCATGGCCACAGTGGTGGTTCTCCCAGGAAAATGCTGCCATCCTTTCTGGGCCTCTGCCAGCCAGGGGCTTTTCAGACACCTCTTATTCCAAACTCTGCTTTCTCTGTGTACCCCCCGCCCCCGCCCGCTCCCTTGCAGCCCCAGGGCATCTCTCTTTCTAGGGTAGAGTTTAAAGTCCTCCTGGCAGCTACCCACTCTCCTTAGCTAAAGTCTCCGTCTAGCTGAATCGATCTGCTTTTAGCTCCCTAAAAAGTCATTCTGCTTATGCTCGAGGAAATTCCCATCCCTGAGATGCTATCCTCTTGCTATTTATCTAAACCATTGATCCATTCAGCAAATTTGTACTAAGTGCCTACTGTGTTCAGGGATGCTGGGAAGAGAGTAGAGGACAAGATAGACGGACAGACGTGGTCTCTCCCTTCTTGGAGCCTACAGCTCAGTGTTTAGCCTGGGCACCACCCCCTGGGGGCCACCCAATCCCTGGGGACTTCCCCCCCCCCCCCCCCGTTCTGGAATTTCCATAGCCTGCCCCCTGGTGTTGGCCTGCCTTTCATTTCCTTTGTGCTTTGGTCTTCCCGGTAAGACTGACAGATCCTCAAGGGAACGTCTGTGACTTCAATCTCTCTGTGAGGACAGTGCCATTTAGTGCAGAGGGCAGATGGTGTGACTGACGGTTCAGTCATTCACTGGCTGGCCACCGTGTGTCTGTCCCCACACATGAGGGATTGTGGGCGTCACATGATAATGACAAGAAGTCTTAACATCCAACGGGGAAGCCTATGTACTGCCCAATGGCAAAGGCAGTGATGATGGCCTTGTTCCACTCAGCCCGTCCAGTGTCTGGCCAGCGTGGCAGGCTCTGGTCAGTTCTTCCACAAGGCTGGGAGGACAAGCTGGGTCACAGAGCTTGTCTTCTCTTCTGATCTCCTCTGTAAGAGCTGCATCCTCTGGGGCAGTTGGACAAAAGGGCTTCTTGGGAAGAGGAACCTCAGAAAGGTCAGGTGAATTACTCAAGATCATGCTGGAAGCCAGTGGGACTGGTGCCTGGGTCTCTCTGCGGCAGGTCAGCTGTGAGCGCTACTCAGTCCGGCACCTCCCACCTGTGACCTCGCATTTCTCTCTTGCTGCTCTCTATCTCTGTTATAAGTTCCTGAGGAGAGTGGTCAATTCTTTGACTTGTCTGGTATTTTCTACTTCCCACTAGCGCGCCTGACAGTGCTAGACACAGTCTAACTGTTTTTTTGCTAAACTGAATGCTCTGGTCTTGGATAACTGAGCACACTTTTGACAGAGGAGGCCTTGCGGGCCTGACCAGGGTGGGAGGGCGTGGAGGCCCAGTTCTATCCTTTCCAGTTTTCTGTTCCCTGCCAGCTCTCTGCTTCGGTTGTGGGGTTGTGTGTGGATGGTACTAAAGAGTTCTTAATGTCCCCCACTTGAAGGAGCATTGCCCTACAGACCCAAGGCCCAGGGAAGTTTAGTTTGGGACAAAACAGAGAGAAACTTAAGAGTCTGAGAGATTTAAGAATGAGGATGAAGGTCTTTCTCCCTGCTCATTGCTGGCCCACGGCCCAAACCCTCAGAGATGGGACATACTCACCAAGGCAGTGCAGGGAGACCAGGGAGCCCGAGAGACAGGGTCTGGAAGGGAGACACAGGACCTTGTGGTTTCTGTGGGAGGCAAGGACTCCGGTCCCCTAGCCCTGTTGACCCCAGCCCCCCTCCCAACACCTGGGAAATCTGGAACCCACGTCCTGGGGGGCTGTATAGAAACGGTATGGCCACTTAGTTCATTGTGATTCGATTGGTTTGGGTTCAACGCCCCTGCTGTTCATCACCCACTGTGTGCTGGGCCCTGCCTGTGTCAGAGCCCAACCCAAGACCTTGGCATCCTGGAGTGGAAGAGAGCTGAGCCTGGAACAATGTCTGTTACACTGTGGGCTTTCCAGATGGACAAAAAGTGGGATTTCGGTGGAATTACAGGCACACGATCCTTCTGCTACCATCTTGGTCCTTTTTAAGATTTACTCTTTGGTGAATAAGCAGCCCTCAGCAGCATCCCCAAATGCTGGGGAGCCAGAATCTTTTTCGGGGCTCTCTGCTGCAGTGTGACCATTTTTATCTAGCTGCTGAGCTCTCATGCACAGTGGGGAGGCAGAGGAACAGACCGCTGCCAAAGGCCATGTGGCCTTTTCTCTGGAGAGCTGGGAACGTGGAGAGGTCTTACTCTGGCCTGGGTGAGTGGCTGGGAAGGACAAAGTGGCCTTTGGAATCTTGCCTTATTGGGTTTAATCGGGAGCATAAAGTGGTAGGAAAATTTTTGGTTTTACTCTTGGATGACACGGCCACCAACAACATATGGACAGCACACTTTGTCCAGCTGTCTGTTTTATATAAAAAAGGGAGTCAACCCAGAAAACCTCTCAGAAATCTGATTCTCTAGTTCTTGGTATCTGACAGTCTGCATGGCCTGGAGTTCTTCTTGTGGTCTGGCTTATATTCCCCTTGCTGCACCTGCTCAGGGTAGCTGCCTACAGCCCTGATGGCAGCCTCCATTGTGAGCCTCTTGTGGGCCAAGAGGTGTCCTCTCACTTACCCACTTAGGTTTTGCACCTGAAGCCCCTGGCCGTTCTCTGTGATTCCAACAACATCCAGATCTTGGTCTGGGCCGATCTCCACAGCTCTGAAGGTGGGTTTGCTGCTCACGTTGGGGGAGAGAGATTGAGAGAGAGAGAGAGAGAGAGAGAGAGAGATGTGAGGTAGGGCAGGACGTTAGAAGAAGATGGGGGGAGTAGTTCCCACTTCCAGGAGCTGCAGTGGGAAAGAACGTGTCCTAGGACTTGGCTCTGGGCACGATGCTGATGTGGATGCTCTTGCTTCCCCAGAGCTCTGGACAAATTTTAGGGACATGTTTTCTTAACTCCCAGTTGTAGCCCTATTTCAAATGTCCCAGCATTTTTTTTTTTTTTTTTTCTGATTCACAGCCAGGGAACTGGAAGGTGGATATTTGGTTTTCTGAACAAGGCATGTGGGCTGAATTGGGTAGTGGGGGTGCATTTATGGCTCCCTTGGAGATAGGACAGGACGAGATCAATCTTCACATGAGTCCAGAGAGTCTCTCCCTTGGACCACCCTCCCTCTTTCTCTCCACTGATCCATGTTTGTCTTCTTTCAAACCTTGGGTTTAAGTCTTTGCTCCTCCAGGAAGGCTCCCCTGATTCATCCCATTGTTCTGATTGTCCTGTCCTTCCCCATCCAGCCATGCTAGTCCTGGCTCTGTGTGCAGGGCTCAGGTTGACTGAGGCACTGGCTGACTGGCCACTGATGCTCTCACATTCTGGGCCAGGATCCCGCACACCGGGTGGGCCCAGGTACACCTAGAAGGGCGTGAGTGTGGCGGTGCTGGGTTTCAGAGCCCTGGAGATGGAGGCGCTTGTCCTGCCTCTGACACTAGCTTGATGTGTAACCTTGACAGGTCACGCCCTTCTCCGGGTTTCCTTAAGCCTTAGTTTCTCCCTCTGTAAAATGAGAGGTGGACCGGATAATCTCCAGAGCCCCTCCCACCTTGAACCATCTCGGGTTTTATGGTCCTGGGACAAGAAGGGCTTCTTATCTAGGTGGAGGAAGGAAAATAGAGAAACTTCAGACCCGGAAGGAGGGACAGTGGTGGAAACGGACAGTCCCCGGAAAGGTAAGCTCTGACTAGCTTTGATTCTGTAGAACTCAAGAAGCCAGCTGGTTTGGTGCGTTAGTGCACTCCGGAAGGACAGAAATTCCAGGATCCTATTACCTTAAGAAGCCCCAGAGACACCTTGGTTGCGTAAGGCAGCTGCAGCCCGTGGAGCTGGGAGCTGGGCACCCCTGACGCCGCAGTGGCTGGACTGCCGTGGAGGGGAGGGGCTGGCTGCAGGGGAGGCTGGGCCGGCCGGGTGGCTGCTGGGGGTGGGGTGGGGGAAGGAAGAGCAGGGCCAGGGCGTGCCTTCCCACCTCTCCTCAAAAATGAAGGAGGCAGAGGTGGCCTGTCCAGGGTTGCGTCCCACGGCAGGTATTGAGCAGTAAAGACCTGATAACCAGAGAGCAGAGGGGGCCAAAAGGTCTGATGGATCAGTAATGCTGCTGGGAGCATTTATTGAAAAAGAACCTGGAGGCTGCTTTTTAGGGGTGGATGGGAGAAAGTTCTGTGATTGATTGACAGTGTCTGCATGTCCAGTTTCTTAGAGTCCTTGGGGGCTTGCCAGGGAGAGTCCTTGGGAACCTACCCCACTCTGCAGCTGAATAAATGGGTATTTTCCCTCCTCTCTGGTTAGGCTCTGTGAGTGATCGGTGGCCGTACCTCTCCTCCCTTTATAGGGAAAGCCTTGGGGGAGGAGAGAATTACCCAAACTAGAAACAGAGACATTGCTAGAACTCCTGATGCCTAGGAATTAAGGGGTCTTGGGCACAGACCCCAAGCCTCTTCCTCCCAGCTCCTGCCGAAGCAAGTTACTTATCTTCCCTGAACCTATTTCTAAAATAGATACAGTAATAACTACCTTTGTGGTTTTTGCCAAGATCAAATGAATATAAACACAGCATGCAAATCACCCTTACGATTACATAACTCTTGATCCACTGAAGATTTGGAGCTGCTTTAGAAATTTGCTGAGAGAGCTGGGATTGCTGATGGGGCGCCAATGTAATCAGGTTTGTTTAAGCTGAATTTTAACCAATGGGACATTGAAGAAGTAAATATTACACTCTGGGACAGGGTGTCTTCTTGCAGAGCCGTGAAAGAGTGAGGGTCTTGAGGAGCCAGCACTGTGTGTTGGGGGTGTGTGGTGAGGCTTATATTCTCTCGCTGCACCTGATAACTGTCCTATGACATTGCCAGTGCTTGCCCCAATTAACCCTTTCCTTGAGGAAACTGGGGCTTAGGAGATTGACCTTCACGTTGCTTGTATGTGAAAGTGCTCAGGTTCAAGGGCAGTTCTGTCTGACTCCAGTATTTATATTTTTAGGAAGGGAGGAAGGAAAGGGGGAAGAAGGGAGGAGGTCATAGGGACGAGGGGACAGCCTCTGGAGGCTGGGGCCAGGTACCTGTCATAGCCCATCTGCCCACAGGCTATCTTGGCCAGAGCTTCTGTGAAGTTGTCGAAGCAGGCAGAGGCCCAGCTCTGTGTGGCCGGGTCCAGCACCTGCAGGGTGGATCGGTCCCTGGAGAGGCGGACTGCGAGGGGGAGAACCTGGGTCAGTTGCAGGGCAGGGGCCTGTCTGGCCCATCTCCCTCAGAATTCATCATGGGACCAGCACAACCTCCCTACACCCAGGCCCTAGAGCATCATAGAACACCAATCCTTTCAGCCTCGGGGTAAGTTCTTCCATTTGGCTTCGCCTGACTGAGCTTCATTTTTATGGTAGCCAGGGTGACCAGATGTCCTGGGAACAACCTCCTTGTGGACCTGTTGTCCTGGCACAATTACCAGCAGCTCTCTATTTTATTCTTAGAGATACCAGTTTTGGTGGTCTATGGTGACTCTAGCCATGGTCCACACAGCTTGCCTGGCCTGGGGGACTTCTCAGTGAGGAACCTAGCTCCTTTTCCATGTGAGGTCAGAGGGAGGAGGTTGAGAGGGAGGTACTTTTGGCAGTAGGATGGCAGGTGCCCATAGGCATTTGACTACTGATAAAAAAAAAAAGATATATGCAAGAAGTCACTTAGTCCTGCCCCTCAAAACCCCCCAACACCCATCTCCTGGGCTGTCCTTTCTCTCCAGAGCCCAAGTACTAGGTGGGTGAAGCTGGGCCAGCCCCGGCCAAGAAAGAAGATGAGTTTTTGTTGGAAACATCTCCTATTGCTTTGAAGGACCTAGCTCAGTCTTGTTACATAGGAGGCTACAATAAACACCTAATGAATAGAAAGATCAGTAGCTGGTTGACGGCTTGACACTCACTTTTCTAGTCCCCTTGAAAGAACAGATTTCACAGAAAGGAGGGAACTCCCCAGGGTCATCCAATCCAGCCGCCTGCCTCAGTCCCACCCCGGTGTAGCAGAACGGGGCAGGCTATGTTACAATTTCCTGTCCCTTCTGGTCCGCATTTGTTCATCATATTCACTGAGTATTTGCTACATGGTAAGTACCGGGGCCCTAGTCCTGTTGTTCTTAAGAACCTTACAATAGGGATGGAAACTGACAAGTCATTTGGCAGATGCTGTGCAGTGGATCAAGGGGGACCTGAGCTGGTTTCCTGCTGTGCCAACTCCCCCAGTGCCTCCAGCCCCTAGACTCACCTGCCACTGGGAACCCATCGGGGAAGGTCTTGACACAGAGCTGCTCGTCCTCCCCGGAGGCACAGTCCTGCTGGCCGTCACACACCTGCCTCCTCGGGATGACGTGGAGAGGCTGCCCGCAGAGGAAGTAGTATTTGTCCAGAATCACCTTGACTGGAAGGCAGGGGCAGGGAGGGGGGCAGACAGGGCTGAAGGTCAAGCAGGCAGCCCCCGGGGTGGGTGGGAGAGGCTGTGTTTCCCTGAAAACATGCTGGGCTTCAAGACAGGCAGATGAGGGCTCCAGACGCAGTGACGCCACTTGGTAGCCTGGGTACTTGGTCCTGAGCCTCAGTTTCCTGATCTGTAAAGTAACACCTATCCCATACCTACAAGATGGCTGAGGCATCAAGCGAGAGAATGTGCAGGAGAAATTTAGAAACAGCCCCCACTGGCCTCATCCTCCCGGTGCAGGCACAGTGCCTCTGGTAACGAATAGACAACACGGGGCCTGGAGCCCAAAGACGACAGCGCTGGCCCTGCCGCCTCTCGTGTGACTTTAGACCCATCACATCCCCTCCCAGGGCCTCGGTTTTCTCATCTGTACAGTGGGGTGAGGTGGTTGAGAACGTTTGGTGAGCTGGTGGCCGTGAGTGTCTTGTAACCACCGAGTGCTATTCTAGAACTAGGTGTTTTGATCTGGGGCTGAGAGATCCCTGAAGGGCTTGGCGGCGTGTTGTGTTTTGTCTTCGGCCTGCTGCTTTCAAATTCTGTTGCTCCTTTGCTGCCTTGGGCTGACGGGACTGAGTCTAGTTTGTGACTCCTCAGCGAATGAATACTTCACATTCCTAAAGGCTCCTGGTCGGAAGAGACCCCCCTGCCTAACTGAACCCTCCCCTAGCCCGAAGCCCCCTCCTGCTGTCCAGTGTCGCTCCTGGCTAGCCCTGCAAGTGACAGTGGTAAGTCTGACGGTGGCCTCGCTGGTCACTGCTGAGAGCTTCCCATGCACTGCCTTGTGTAATCCTGACAACAACCTGAGGTGGCTGGGGTCATGATGAACTCACATTATAAGTGGGGGACACTGAGATTTACACAGTTGGGGTTTATTTCCCAAGGCCACACAGCACTTATGTGTAGAGCCAGAATTCCAGTCAGGGTCTGTCTAACTCCAAAGCTCTTTGCTGCCTCTCCATGCCTTCCCTGAGGGGCTTCGAGATGGGGTCTGCTGGCCCGGATGCCCCTGGTGTGAGGGAGCACAGGAGAAGAAGCAGGCTGAATCTTTCCTAGACCTTCAGAGTTTGGTTCATGGTCAGGAGCTAGGGTAAGGCAGGCTCACTCTAGCCTCTTGGGACAAAGCCAGGACATAGTATCACCAGTTGAGACCCCAGAAGCCAAAAAGTTGAGGGAGCCTTGCCTGGGATGGAGGCTCAAATGACCTTCTCTGGTTGCAGAACCTGGGGGCCCACGGCATGGAAGCCACACAGGACCTTGTGGGATGGGGAGACCCCACTTCTGAATCATGCACCACTGCCTGCCCGGGCATGCCCTGGATGAATCTTGGCCCCTTCTCCTCTCTCCAGTGTGGCAGGGCACAGGCTCAGAGAAAGCAAGCTCTCCTTCATATTAGCCTAAATAGAACAGGCTTAGGACGGCAGCTGTGCTTATGCTGCTGCAAACCCAGGGCCAAGGGCCAGCCAAGGTCAGGAAGAAATCCGCATCTCACAGCTCAGTGGGACTCTCCGGGATCTGGGTGGTGTTTGTGTCGTGGATCTGCATTTCCATTGCCACAGATGGAAAGGGACTCGTTCAGTCTGGGTCCCGGGGGGCCCCGTCCCAGCTGTCTCTAACTGCCAGTCCTCTTTGAGCCTAGATGCTCAAGTGGAGGGGGAGGGTTTGGGCCCAGTGATCTGGGAGTGCGCGGTGGCTGTTGCTGGGGAAATGCCACCATGGTTCCAAGTGCAGCTCCTCAAGGGCCCGTGCTACCCTGTTAGCAAACACATGCTTTTGTGTAAGGCCTTGGTCACATCTCTGCACCCTGTCCGGTGACCCACACTTGGGCACGACCTAATTTTCATCCAGGTGTTTTACATTATCTCCGATATCCCTCTGGGAGAGACAGGATGTTTTGCAGAGGAGACTGAAGTTGAGAGAGGTCAAAGGACTTACTCAAGGTCACACAGCAAGGGGCTGTGCCGAGATCCTCACCCAGGTGTCCCGACTGCTAGCCTGGTCCGCTGGGCCCTGCTCCCCACCCTGAGAGTGCCGTCAGTAGCCTGCTGTGACTGTGGGGGAGGGGAAGGCAAGGACAGTCACAGGAGTGGGAGTGGAGACCGGGATGGTGGGCACGGTGGGTCATTCAGTTCACTCTTTGTCGCTGAGTGGCCTGCTCACTGGGTCTCAGGCACTGGCAGGGAGGAAGACAGAGCTACGGGCAGTGTGTGTGTGTGCGTGCGTGCGCACGCGCCTGGGTGGCTTCCCGTGTGCCCCCCGTCTGTGTCCCTCTCTCACAGGTGGAAAGGCTCCCCGCTCTTATAGCCGGTAGGGCTGCTCTGGTGTCTGCAGACGCCTGACTAAGGAGGCAGGGGCGCGGCCGCCCTGGCCGGTTGCCTGCGTGGCTTTGTACCGTGTGCAGCTGTGCTTTCCCTGTGGTAGAGATCATCTGGGGTAGGTGGGGGCTGCGTTCACCTCCCCCCTTCACTCTTGGAGGAAGGCTCTCTTCAGAGCAGGGGGTGGACGCATGTCACACAAAGCTTTCTGCAGCTCACCTGCCTGTGGCTGCTGGGTGCAAGGGTGAAGGGTAAGGTTGGGCTTGGAGAGGAGGTGGCAGCTGCCGTTTCCTGTGGGGGATGAAGGGGAGGTGGGGGCAGTAATGAGGGGGTGAGGGTAGGGGTGGGGGCTGCCACTTACTGAGGACAGCCATGATGATGATGGTCGCCAGGCTCAGCAGTGCTGCGATGATGGGGATGCCAACCTTTTTGAAGGTTTCCAGGGGAGTGCGAGGTTTGCGCAGGGGGGTGACGTCTGTGAGGCGGAGGGAGAGAGCCTGCAGTCAGCACTTGGAGCCCGCCCCTGCCAAGGCCCACAGCCTCCCTGCCCTCTGGCCTTGGTGCTGAGCCGCAGAATGCTTTGGGTACAGTTTTGCTTAGCGCTGGGGTTTTATTCCTGCAGACTGGGCTTAGCTTCAACAGTGCATGGTCACCCCCCCTCCTTCGCTTACCCAGGCTTATCCATCTTTCACCTGTGCCCCTCAAAGGAGACTCCAGACCATGGTGTCTTCTCCTTGTCTTGACTTAGCCTATTCTGCAATGTTTCACCCTGTCGGGTCTGCCCTGCGTCTGCCCCGGGAGAGGCAAGTACTCATTTACTTTACTGTCATTTATCCTCTTTTCTGACTTATCTTTTGGTTAAACTGTAAGCTTGAGGGCAGGGACCTCCAACGCATTCCATGCTTCGTAGAGCCCTGGTACATGCTTGTGAATGAACACATCCTAAGGGCCTCCATCTCCAACTCAGCTCAGCAGATGGTGAGTCCCTAGAATGGTCCTCATCTTTAAGGAGATGCCAGTTTGGGGGAAGAAGCACACGAGGACAGAGTTGCCAGGACCACCAGACACCACCAAAACACTTAAATGGGCCTCTGTAGGTGGTGATGGGGTGGGGTGGGGCTGGACCAGCTGGGCAGAGGCCTGGGGGTGTTGACTGTGAGCTCCTCGTGTGCTCCTGAGATGTAACGTGAGCAAGTGCGTATTGTGGAGGGAGGACTGGCAGCGTCAGTCTGTGGAGAGTCTTGAACACCATGCCGGGAATTTGGATTTTACGGGGAAGGCAGTGTGGAGCCATGGGAAGCTTTGAGCAGTAGAGAGATGTGATCACCTTCATATTTAGAAAGGTGAATCTTTCATCAGGAAGGAGGTGGATGGGAACAAGAGTTTGGGGATAGGGAGACCGGGTAGGAGCCTAGAGATGCCTAAAACAGAGGTAATAATAACTATATTGTCTTTTTCATATGGTTATCCAAGGAGATGGTACCAGGGCCAGGATTTGAAAAGTTAAATTCTCAGGAAGTACCCGAGATAGGTCCTCTTGCATCCCCTCTCCTTGCAGGCAATAAGCTGCGGCAGGTGCACGGAACTTCTCCAGGGCGAGCTAGGGCAGGAAGTCTGGCAGCCTTGAGTCCCTGGAAGGCGATAGGTCAGCTTTCTTTCCCTCACCTCCCCATGGCTTGGTCTGTCACCTTTCTTGTGAGGCCTTCTTGACCTCCCTTTTTAAAAGATAATCTTCCAGTATTTCCTGTCCTCTTTCCCCATTTTAAAAAACATCAGCTCTTAACATACTCTGTATTTTATGTATTATATATATTTTCCATTTCCTCCCATCCCTGCCTGAAATGAAGACTCTATGAAGATAAGGAATTTTTCCCTTCTTCTTCTTCTTCGTCTTCGTCTTCGTCTTCTTCTTCTTCTTTGTCTTCTTCTTCTTCGTCTTTGTCTTCTTCTTCTTCTTCATCTTCGTCTTCTGTCACTGCTGAGTCCTAGGTGCTTCAGCAGGTATTTGTCGAGTGAATACATGCATCGCTCTTTGCTTGATCTCTTAAGCACCTCCTTTCCGTCTTTGTTACAGGTCTCGTTTCCTGGCTTGAATGAGGGCTGGGTTATATGTCTGTCTCCATCGCCTTCCTCAGCTCTTCAAAAGCAGAGAATGGCATCCAGCCATAGACTGGTGCTCAGGAAGTGCTGGTATCATTGTTGAAAGGGAAAGCATAGGAAATGTTTCGTCTCCTCAGGAGAGTTTAAGCCTCAGGCACAAAGCACAGGCCTGTGGGGTGTGGGCTGGTGTTGCCCATCAGGGGCAGGAGCAGGCACCAGGGAGCTTCTCAATCTTAGCAGGTACGGTTTGAAGGTTCCAGCAGTCAGTGTACAGAGCTGTCCTCTGTCCCGTGGCCGTGGACATGGCGACATTTTGTCCATTCCTCCTTCATGCATGATTTATTTATTGAGCACCTTCCGCTGGGGGTGTGAGGTGGGCTGGTTTTCTCAGAGGTGCATCACTTCTTGGGAGCCCCTCGAGGGGTTCCCCTCTCCAGGTCCCCATGTCTCTGCCTCCCTGATGTCCTCAGGGAGAATAGCATCAGGAAGGGTAGGGTTTTCTTGGTTTACGTTTCGTACGTAAAGTTGACAAAGCCACCATGAGCTTTGTGAAGAGCCTCCCTGCCTGCCCCTGTTCCTTCCTCCAGCCGGTCCTGCCCACCACTGCAGGACAGAGCCTCCCAGCGTATTGCTGTCATCCTGTCACATCCCTGCCTGAGAACCCTCCATGACTTCTGGATCTAGACCACACTCTTCTCCAGACTTGCAAAGCCAGTGGGATTTGGGGCCATGTGGACTTCCCACTGCTAATCCTCGCCGGTCCTCAGTGCCACACGGGCAGTTTCTGCCCTGGTCCTTGTGCACCTGCCTTCATTCCCGTCTTTGAACCTTTGCTCCTGCTCGTCCCTTCACCACTGAAACCCTCATTACTTCCTTCTGTTTCGTGATAGTTTACTCCTGTGGGGACTTTGTCAAAGCTTGCCTGACCCCATGACGCTATTATCTCTGATCGCTTGGCACTGATCGCTCCTCGAGCTCCCTTCATGTTGGCATTGGTAGCAAATCTAACTTGTTTTCTGGTTTGGTGGTTCTCAGGCTTACTCGGGTGGTGGAGCTCTTGGATGTCTGATGTTCTCTGGGGACACAGGGGTCTACTGGTCTATCGAATTCCAGAGCATAAACTAGGCACCATCTTACTTGCGGAAGATTACATTGTTTGTGATCATTATTAACGTGGGGCCCTGAAATTGTTGAAGTAAGTGGGATTGGTTATTTCCTTGTGGATCTGTCATATTAGTTTGTGCTTTGCTGATCCAGCAGGCTATCATCAGGAATAGCTCTCAGTGGTTTAACAAAATGGAATGGGAGGGGAAAAAAACCAAAACCTTAAATTTGGGAACACTTTATCTGTTAAATTATTCTTCTCCTGTAAATCAGGCAAACACTATCATTTTCTAGTCTACCAGGGAAAATACCTTTGTCCAGCATGTTCCATGGAAGTGGTCAGACTGGCAACTCCGTGAGGGCAGGGACTCTGGCTTTCTTACTTCCTGTTTTAGTCCAGTGTCTAACCCAGAACCTGGCACGTGGCGCACTCAGAGTTGTTGAATGAATAAGAAAGTGAGTAACTGAATGAATGAGTTGGAGAATCACTGCTCTTGGGGTTTTAGGTTTGTTGGTCTTATTTCCCTGGAGACCATGCTTCCTACTTCTAGAATTATCCTGGACCTTACAGTTGCTTAATACATTTTTGTTGAATGATGAATGGGTGGGTGGTTGGAGATCTTCCACAGCATTTAGCCCTCGGTGGTGGTGGTGAGGGCCATGCAAGAGGGGTATAGTATCTATTTGGTAACTGGTTGAAACTTGGAGGCTGAGGTGGACAAGGCAGAGCTGGACCTGAGCTTACCAAGGCTGTTCAGGGGTTGATTGCTGTCAGGATCCTGCAATTGAAGGAAAAACAGTGAGTTGAGTGAGGGAACCTCTCAGGCTGGGGCTAAGGACCCAGGGGAGGCTCTTGGTTCTTATTTGCATCCCCTTCTCTCTGCTGAATCTAAGTTGGGGGGCTCAGTGATATCTCACTGGCTCAAAATATAAAATTCAGGGGCTCCTGGGTGGCTCAGTCATTAAGCGTCTGCCTTCGGCTCAGGTCATGATCCCAGGGTCCTGGGATCGAGCCCCGCATCAGGCTCCCTGCTCAGCGGGAAGCCTGCTTCTCCCTCTCCCACTCCCCCTGCTTGTGTTCCCTCTCTCACTGTCTCTCTTTCTGTCAAATAATAAAATACGTGTATATATATTACACACACACACACACACACACATATATATATAAAATGCAGTTATGCATCTATATTACCTGGTACAACTAGCTTACTAATTGTAACAACTAGTTAGCAATTGTGGAAATGTTAGGCTGCTGGGTTGTTGTATTACTGAGTTTCTTAGAATGATTCTGCTCAGCCGTCTGTTTTGGTCAACTATTTGTCTACTTTTATAGATGTCTTAGTTCTGTAAAAACTTGGACACTTCACAAAAGGGGTACTTCAATGGCCAATCTGTGCCAAAAGATGCTCAGTATCATTGCTCATCAGGCAAATGCAAATTGACACCACAATGAGATATCTCTGCGTAGACACCTGAATGGCTAAAATTAAAAAGACTGACAATACTAAGTGTTGATGAGGATGTGGAATATTGGAACTCTTATACACTGTTGTCAGGAGTATAAATTAGTACAGATACTTTGGGAAACGGCCTAGCTGAATCTGCTAAATCTAACTATGTGGCTATTCTAGGATTCTGTGACCCAGGAATTAGCCAGGAGAAATGAGTGCACGTGTCTAGTGAAATATCTGTACACAAATATTTGTAGTAACTGCATTCATAATAGCTAAAAATTGGAAAAACCCAAATGTCCATCACTGGTGGAGTAGATAAATTGTGGTATATTCATATGATGGAGTATATTTTAACAATAGACCAACATAACCTAGTGCTAAAGTGCAATGACCTATGGGGATGAATCTCATAGACATAATAATGAAGGAAAGAAAGTAGACACAAAAGAGTATGCTCTGTATGATTTCATATATAGAGATTTTAAAAGGTAAAGTTAATCTATGGCGATGCAAGTCAGAATAGTGATTACCACTGGGGAAGTGGGGCAGTTATTGGAAGCAGCACAATGGAAACTTCTGGAATGTTGGAAAACTTATATATATATATCAAGTTGTCCTTGATCTAAGTGTTGGTTACATGGGGGTACATATGTTTAATATTCACTGGGGGGTACACTTTAGATTCGAGTGCTTTATTGAATGTATGTTATCCTTAACAGAGCAAACAAAGACAAAACCCTACCAGAGCACTATGGTACTTCTGCAGGTGTACTCTTAGGTCACCATGGACACACATACACAAACACAAGCCTCTGTTCTTCCAGTTACACCACTGCGTGTGTGCGCTCAGCACACACACAGCCACATAGGGTCACAAACAGGAGCCGTGCACACAAGGCTCACATACGAAGTCCATTCGCCCCCTTGCCTGCAAAGCAAAGAGTAAGGGGAGGGGACTGCCAAGGCTCATGCCTCACTCTCGTGCCTCCCAGAAAGCTCTCTTCTCTTTGCTCCCTTTCCAGCTGCTACAGGAGCTGGAGTCCTGGGGCTGGGTGAGCGGCAGGCCTGCCTGGGGTCTGGGTCTCCATTCTGGGACTTGGCTGTCCGTGGTGCTGAGGTCACGATGGTGCCACTGGTAGGTGGAGGAGCTGCAGGACCCTGAACGTTTCCGCCTGGGAAGTTTTTGAGTCCCATTTGGGGGTGACAGGGCTTCTTCTAACCCCTGGGTGGGTGTCCCAGATTAGGTCTGGTTGGTGGCAGCGGGGAGGGGGGGCATCCCGGGGTGTTTGCTTCCATGGCTGAGTGTGGCAGACATAATCATTGGGAGAAGGAGCTCCTTCCTTTCCTCCCAAACTCTGTAATCCACTGGAGGGACGTGCCTGGCATTGTCCTTTGGTGGCATGAGGCCTTGGGCGGCTCGGGGATGTTCCAGAGACAGCGGGCCCTGGAGTCTCTGGGGGCTGAGTTGGAATACAGGTTCTGTGTCTTATTAATTGTAAGTCTTGGGTGTGAGAGGGTTAACCTCTCTGAGCTTCATGTTCTCCCTCTGTAAAGTGGGGAAGCTGGTACTTACCTCACAGTGCTACTGTGAGGTTTAAGTGAGCTATGTAGTGGGAAGGCCTGGCTCACATAGGCGAGCTCCCTTCCCTCCTGGGCCCCCCAGCATTTGCTGCAGAACTTTCTACTGCGCAGTTGTCCTTGTTTCTTGTGGCCTTTGAGTCCTCAGAGTTTTGCACTGGACTTTACTCAGGAAAGACCAGATAGATGCTATTAAATGGAACGGGACTCTGGGCTCTGCCCTGTGGATCTTTCCTAGCCACCTTTCCTTTGCCATCTCCAGGGCCTGGAGGAGGGACTGTTTCCGGGGTAAAGATGAGAACAAGTCCTACAATACTGCGTTGCAGTGGCTGCCGAGTTAGGTAATAATAGTATCAACAGTATTTATTTATTTA